GAAAAGGAGATATTTTCATACGCCGCAGTTGCGCCAAAAATATAGTCCCTTATGGATTTCAAACTCAGTTTATCATTTCTATTTAAAATTGTACAATTATAATTAGTAAAGAAAAATATGTTCTTTTAAATACATTACAGCTAAGTTTATAAGACATACAAGCAAATATACTTGGAATATTTTGTTTAATCAGAAACCAGACAAGAACTCTCCTTAAGACCGACAGTTCGAATAAGGTAGGTAGTTTCTGTCACTTTAATTGTCGTATGTGCCACTTAAAACTTTTTGCTTCTGTGGGAAATGTAGAAAAAGTTAGTACTTTATACTTATAACGAAAAATAATTTCTTTTCGCATACGACAAATTTGTTCTCAGTATACCTGTTTAACTAATGCAGCTACAGTTACGACCTTTTGGTATATGATAGATTTTACCAATTAGATACGGATAACGCTTAAAGCGTATTTTGGGTAGTACATGTATCTAACACATACAACCATTTGCTTCTATGGCGACGACTTATTTATTTTCAAAAATTCAGATGTTATTTTAGTATACAAAATACATGTACATGTACCTTTCTTTATCACTTTTAAAGTACAAAATTAATTTTACTCTAAAATCACACATATAAAAGGAAATAATCATAATTTATGGTTTAAAGTTTTAGGGCGATATATTCCCTTAGCAACAGGGCGAGACAGAGAGATCTCGCCCTGAGATCGATACAGGCCTTGCTCCTAGAGGTCTCTTTTTTCTTTATTATTACTTTAAGCTTTACAGCTTATCAGTATATACAGTATAATACGATATACAATCGGATACAGTACAGAAGTCGATGATTTACAGGAGAACAATGTGTACGTACATAAATAATAATGAAATAAAAAGAAGTAAAATATTACAATTATTGGATTACAAGATCTCCTCGCCTCATGCTATAATAAATATATTTACCAAGGTTACACATATCCTTATAGTTCTCTGTATTGAACAATTGCAATAATTTAAACATGTATGGTTTTTTAAAGAAATATTTTCTAATAAATTTGTTTCGATAATCTGCATAAACAGGACATACTAGTATAAAATGATATATGATATTCATCCTCAACACAAGTATGACACGAAAAACATTTCCTCTGGGCTTTGTTAGTTTTATTATATCTCCCAGTTTCAATAGCTAAAAGGTGTGAAGATAATCTTAACTTTGATATGCATTTTTTTCTCAACAAGTCCAAAACACATGTACCAGGGCTAATACACTACTAAGGCCAACATTTTTTTATTAAACGATTTACGGGAAATTGTGGGGGAATTCTAAAGAATTTCTTATCAAAATATTTATCATGACAACAACAAGATGACCAAAGAAAAAAAAGTTTATAATGAGAACCTCACCATACTAAAAGTACTGAAAAAAACATAAACCAACAAATCAAAAATGGAATCTCAATATAACATAAAATCCAGAATCATGATTTAGACCTGTATTTCACAATACAGCATATGTTTCTGCATGTTAACAAACTTCTGAAAGCTTTAAAGTATTAAGTAATATATTTAATACTGTTTCGTTTGCAGTGTCTGTTTATATCTATTCAAAAACTATTTTACACACAACAAAATACTTATGAGTTTCCAGTCTGTACATTGCTGCACATCATCTTTTAAAATATTACAAGTTTGAAAACGTTTCTAGGATATACATGCAAGTTAGATATGTCAAATTTTATTCTTCACAAAATTCGAACGTCTATTTTCGATTTCCATTCTTTTATCATGTTCATCAAAGGTATCAAAATTGTAAACGAGAACTACTGTATTCGGTAACCACAGCGGAAGTGACAGTCCCGTCAACATACTGCATATCCTCTAGTAAAATCATGATGATCATTTCTTTAATTTCTTTTTAACTCCAACTTAACTTTGTCATCGGACATACTTTAATTGATTTTTCCTGTTTATAGCTATGGTTGACTTGGAAAAACTATCGTGTATAAGGACAAAATATCCTCAACTTTTGTAAAATTTGACATTTCTGCAACCATGTTTGCACGTTTTATACACTTCCGAAACAGTTGATAACAAACGTGAATTGATTAGATGAGAATAATGGCTTTTAATAAAGCAGCCAATCAGAATTGCCGACTTATTTGCACATTATTTTATTTTCTTAGTGCACTTGCATTGACGATCGGCGGGAAATTTAGAAATAAAATCAACAACAAGGACTTTTATTTTCATTTGGTTTTAGCTAAAATTGCGGTCGGCGCTCCCGTAAATCATTTAAAAAAATGTTATTCTAAGTATATAATATAGATATATCAACAACGTTTTATAACTTCCATTGCTATGTCGACTCGATATACATCTATCCGAGTGAACTCGAAATAAAAGACCCCACAGAGTCTGCCACGCCTGTTTAATATCTCATTGTTTATATCATAACAAAATTTGCATGAAATTAGAAAGTTATGGAATTTATAAATCTCGGGGGAAAGCGTAGTAAATGCATCGATATTTACTTAATTGCAAAGGATAGAAATAGAAAAAAAAAAACACAGATGATGGACATGAGTGCTGGATGAACTTTTCACCGCTGGTGAATCTTCATGTGATTTACTATTTGTTTGTAGATTAAGAACTTATTTATAAGATATATACTGGTTTGGTCAAGAATGAGGGTGTAACCAATCAAAACGTTTGATGCGAGTGACCAGAGGTCATATGTTTAGATGAATTATCTACAAGGAATAAAAAGTTACAGATTATGCAAAAGGTTCAACATTTTAGAATGCAATTAAAGAGTAAAGAGTGTTTGAGGACGAAAAAATGTTAATTTAAATTCAAATTTAACTTTTAAAGAAATAATAAAATATGCAGGACAGGTACGAAGATATAAATGTGGCTCAGAAGATAGGGACAGTAGACCAGTGGTCAGATGATTGTACATGTATCTCTTTCTGGTTGCATTGATACAGGTACATGTTAGATATTTTTGCGATATTTGTAAAAAGGGTAAAATTTACAAAAAGCTCAATATACAGTGTATTTATCGGTTAAAATATATTATAGTCTAATAGTTATGTTTATTATAATGTTAAATATATTGTGCATTTTGTATCTTTTGTAATTGTAAAAAAATGGGTTGTTTATTTAATGAAGAGTGGTCAGCTGCTTTGTGTCTCTTTCTGGTTGCATTTATACAGGTTGGGTAACAGGACCATTCTCCATAACCTGTGATGTGTTATGGACTTGAAGGAAGTTAACCCTTGGTAGAGTAAATTCAATCGGTTTGAAAAATAAAGGAACAAATATAAACTTCTAGTTAATTTGGGTCAATCTGGTCAACACCATACAAATTATATGGGCGAAAATGAAATATATGGAGATAACGAACAGTTATCAACAGGAATGGGCAAAAAGCAATTTTCGTAATAAGCGGTGATTTATAGAGAAGCCAGTGACTCAAAGGCCTGAAACACCAATAAAACATTTGCAGCAGTTGGTTGAAATAACGCCGTATTTTTCCCTAGAGGTTTTCATTCAACGAGATTTGCACTTTGAAATTTCATTTAACTCTAACACAAATAAGACAAGTTTTATATCCTCGTGAGTACTTACAGGAATAAGCGGGCACTATAATCAACGCCTTAATTACTAGGACAAGGGAGTCCACGATTTATAAGAACAGAGCCTATTTCAAACAGAAGAACCTTGGTCAATTCTATGAGGCGCCCGACGTGCAATGGGCCAGGTTTCTAGTCGTGGTTTGAAGATAAAATTACGCAAAGATGAGGATCAATCTAATTAACACAGATTTCTGTGGTACAACCTTCTGCGTCACCCAAGTAAACAAGAGGGCTTGGAAGAGGACAGATTTAAGTCTTACTACAAAGACTTTGAAAATAAAGCTAGGACAGGTAGGACAGCATTTTTTTGTTCAAAAATGACTACCTCAATTACAAGCTGAAAAAAATAAAGGTGATGATACTCGAAATGTTGTTGCATGGTTGACAAATTTTTTCTTCATGGGCAAGATTTTACCATTTATCTGAAAATAAGATTGTTGACGCTTTCAACTTTCATTATGTGTGTGGTACGATTCTCTACCTGCTCCGCAAAAAAGTCAAATTCAGATATCAGAAGTACACTACTGTTTCAGGAAAGAGTCAGAGAGTTCGACAATTTCTTAATTTGTCAGTGTTGCAAATAGACAGAAATGTATAGAATCTTTAGAATTTTTTTTAAAACAAGATTAATCAAAATTGCTTCATTCAAGAATGTTCCGGAAAATGTCTTATTGTCCGTTGCTATGAACGGCTTAAGGAATTCAGTAAATACAGTTCACATTAGCAGTAATGTTTATATGTATTATAAACTATTTATTTTCGGAATTCGTATATATGAAAGGTAAGATCATTTTCATTTAACAATAACCCGATTAAATTCAAGATGAGAAGTGAATGATGAATTCACATAGTCAGTTTTCAGTTGGTTAATCTTTCAACAAAATTTGTTGAATCACACTTTTTTTATGGTTTATGTCAGCGTAGAATACATGTTTATTTATTACTACAGCTTGAGTACCTCTTACGTTGCGTTTGACAGTGTATATTTGTTAAGCATCTGCCATGAATTTTTGACAACAGCTCTTCCGAATTGCTTGATATTAGCATAAATCAGGGTTGGAGAAGGAAGAGATGCTAAATTCTTTCAAAGAGTAATAACATTTATTTAACATAGATATTCAATTTGAAATACGTTCATTGTACCTGATGAAGGGAAATTTAGAACTTGAAGCTTCAATGAATTTTTGGAGACGTTCCTTTGTTGAAATTGGTCTAGATGTTCTTGAGAAGAAGACAAAAATGTGAAAAGTTTACAGACGAACGGCGGCAAAATGTGATCAAAAAAGCTTACTTGAGTATTCGGCTCAGGTAAGCTTATAATATATAAAAGCAAAGTACTGTACACATTTTAAAAAGGTTTTTCCTTAAATATATATATTGAATTAAGTTGCTAACAAAACACAAATTAAAAACGATTAAGCATCAGGAATGCATTGCACGATACATTCTTACTTCTTTAAATAAAATACAAGTAACCTTACATGTACAATGCAACTGGATACGTCAATTATTAGCACACTGATAATATTGTATAGAATATGTAAGTCAGCAACTGACAACAATACGATCATTTAAACTGAAAAGAATGTTATATGCATGTCTACTGATATATTCCACTCTTTTAATGTCAAGCCTTATTACATGTATCTTCGTTCCTTTTCCTTAATAAACGCACGTTATAACAGATTGTAAAGATCTGAAAAAAAATATGCTAAGATGTTACATTTAAAAAAATTGTTTATCTATTAAAGTTCAAATATTTTGTATTTAAAATGCAAAGATAACGAACAGTATTAAATGTCATAGAGAAACATTTATGACGTCAGAGCAATGGTCGAGTTTATTAGAGTTTATACATACCATTATAACTAATGCTGCCCCCCCTAGACCAAGAACAACATTTATTTTATTTCTTCTTCTTGTCCTCAATTTTTCTAATTCTTCAAAGACGTAACGAAAGCATCCCTGTTCAAAACATATTTAAAATGTATGAAATAAAACCTGTAAGTACACTGTAAAAAATGTGTTTAGATGATAGACACATTTCTAAACACATTCTTGTCACACTTTTTTTAATGCGTTTAAATTTTAAACATGTTGAATTTCAATACGCGTAATGGAAAGTGTTTTAAACCTAAATACATACAAGTTTAGAGTTTAAACACAATTCTAAACACTTAGATTCGCGTTTAGAAGCTAAACACTTCAATGTTTTAAACAGGGATCTGCAAGAAAAACCAAAAATATAACAGGTGTGTCAGTTTCAAGTTTTATTTACTTCTAAATATCATATTAAAATGATAAAAAAGGCCTAACACACAGTAAAGTGTTCTCACGCAGTCACGGAATCATTGTTCGGTGGAATTCCTTTTACTTGTGAATGGTTTCCATTGTTTGTCACAAAGTCTTTTAGAAGTTTTGACATATAAAACTATCTGGCGTCTAAAGAGTTAGTAACATCCAAGTTGTTGAATTGTCTGCATTTTGTACCAGTAGCACAATACAAAGTAAATATATATGTAAAAGACTCCAGCTATGGTGTGCTTCTTGCAGTGTGATGCAATACGGATCACTATTTCAAATCCGCCGTGATGTAAACAAAGCAGCAGGTTATCTGGATAATCTTGAAGGTATTTTCTACGGCAGTATAATTCACATTCATTACCAGAAATGAATTTTGTTCTTTCTCTCGGCTGTCCAATTAAGTTAACCTGTAAGAAAGGACGTACGTTGCATAAGTAACAGTATGACGTGCTGCTCACTGAACATGCTAAAGTTTTACATTAATTACTAAGCATATAAAAAAAATGTTTAAATAAATATTATTGCAACTATAGATTCAATATTTACTCTCATTAATGAATACATGATATGACACCGAAAGACATCCTTGATATGAAGTGCAATGTTATTTACTTTGCTCATATTGTTTTTTTTTATATATATAAACAAAAGCATACATACCCTATTGCAATAACAATGAGCCTTTCACATGTTTTTTCACGATTTCTGCGGTGGTTGGCACTCAAATTATCATCAGCTTTCTTAAAAACATCGTTTACTGTTTTGTTGTGATTTTCTTTGTTTCGACAACCGCGCTTATTAACGTTCAAATATGTATCATTTCCGGGAAGATAACTCTGCACTTGACCGAATTTAAAACAAAAAACATGTTCAATATCTAAACGCGTATAGATTTTAAATACATTTAGACATAAGTGTTTTGTTTTTAAACACAGTATCAAACACGTTTAGATCTAAACACGTAATGGAAGTGTTTATTTCCTAAGCACATTTTTTACAGTGTAAGGATAAACAACATAAAAACAGAATGCTACAGTCCAAATTATTCTTTACTGGTAGTGCTTTCAGCCATGTTGGCTCTTCTTATACATATGTATATATCTATATCTATATCTCTCTCTATATATATATATATATATATATATATATATATATATATATATATATATATACACTGTATATATATATATATAATTGAGAATTTTTCAGGACGCCCTCTCCCTTTTCAGGACATGGGAATGGTAAGACGGTCATTAGAAAACAAAACAAATGAAAATGTAAAAGGTAGGATAACGAACAGTGATCGATCTAAAATGATAATAATTAAACACTTCAAATAAACTCTATTTGTTTACAGTTTTGTATTTTGATGCTCGGTGTTGAAAGGTATTTGAAATGAATTAGGAGCGCTGCGATACACGTGTGATTGCTTAAAACTGACCATCACCACGGTTAACGCTCATTACTTGACCTAGGGTAATGCGTTAACTGTTACTAAAAACGAATTTTTCAATGAGTGCCAAGCACTCTTTTTATCTCAAAATAAAGCTTCCATCTGTCCTTATAATCATAAAAGAATTTACTCTTGGGGCAAGTTAAAAAAATGACTGGATACATATTCATGACCTGCACGATAAATACAAGCAATATGAATAAATATCTATGACTCAGCATATGTCGTTTGATGTTGAATAAATACCTGCCAAATATCTCTTTGATATCTAAATCGCAGTTATGCCTAAAGAAAACGTTAAAAATGTCCGGAGTGCAACGCTTTTTAGTGACATTTTAAAAATTACATTTTTCGAAGGTCTTTGAAATAAATAGTAATAGTTTATGTTGGAAATAAAAAAGTTCATGATAAAATTCAATCTGTATACTATTGAAACTGTAGTAACTTTTGTTTGACCAAGTTATGGTCATGACTGATGCTGAACAAAAAAGTGTTTTACCATGTCAGAAGAAATGTTATGTTTCCAAAACTTGAATTTAAAAATCCGTGTTACAATTAAGTCAAAAGAGAAGTGTTAAACAGACACTGATCAACCATTTAAAAATTAAAAATGTCATATAAATCACAAGCAGCATTAATGAGAGTTAAGTACTTGTGTATATCTATTTATGTCAGGAGTTCAACATTCGATATTTTGCTCCTCAATATGGAAACACTTTTATCAGTATACGATTGTTTACTTTCTATTTTGGAAAAGAAACACACAAAGAACAATTATACCAAATAAATCTATCAATTACATTATCTACATGTATCTGTGTTTCCAATTCATATTTCTACTGTCAGAAGTGCAACAAGTATTTTAAAGATTCAAGTTCAACGATGAAATGACTAGTACTGTTAATCACTTTTAACAAAGAACTCTACTTTCGCGTAATTACGCGAGATTGTGTGCTCGCGAAAATTTCATTCTGGCGTATATTTGTATTCCTAAAGATTATATAGAACAATGACCACAATTCGTGAATATTCTGTCTCGCTAACAAAGAGTCAATTTCTGTCTCGCAAAAAAAAGATGTCGCGAAAATTTAGTGATCTACAGAATTCAAACTAATAAAGTATTCTTTGATCTACAAGGATCTATTTGAATAAATTAGTATTTAGTTATTGACAGTTTTAATATTGACATTTGTCTCTTTATCACATTTATCAATCCAGATGTATTTTTATCTTTTCTTTTATTTTTTTTTTAAAGAAAAAAATCACAAATTGGAAAATTTTCATAAATTCAAGTAATTCCGCCACATCTTCACTGAAACAACAGAACACATTCTGATGTAAATTATGCTTTACAATTCTACTTTAAAGACTCGCGTGCTCTTGGTCAGGAGTGTAACAAAAATGTTTGAATTATTATCGATGATCAAGTATGAATAATTAAGAAATAATTGATGAGTTGAATGTTTCTGGTTGACCTCAATTTCAATCATTTACAGTGTTTCTCATTTGAAGTAAATATCCTACATGTATAACCAATAATTTTAAATATTCATTTGTATCTTCAACCAGTTTTATGACATTAATAGAAAATAATTCAAGAAGACATAAATTAGTCAATTTAAACAATTTTAAGCATTTTAACCATGAAGTAATGGGATTATGAATATTGCACATTTTCGTTACAACTTGATATTGACTACTTCATGTATTTTTGTGTTCTATGTTGTACTTTTAAAATTTACTGCAGGCACTAGTGCATCAGAGCTATTTGTAATTTTCAGTGACTTTTATCTCTCTTTTCTAAAAAATAAATTAAAGAAAATGTTTGATATTATTTGTATTTTTAATTTGCTGTAATTGATAAATATCAAAACAACGAACTTCTTACGCATATAAACTTTGAATGAGTTATTGTGTGTTGTATTTTTAAAATACTGTTTTATTTATATAAAACCCATGTCAGATGCCAGGATTGCAACGAAAAAAGGTGAAGAGAATCAGTTTAAAATCTTGTAATTTTGTAAGAAAAACTCGTGTATCAAAATTCTTTTTTTGGCTTATATTTGAAAAAAAAAATGGAAAAAAATAGACAAAAAGTAACTTTTTGAGAATTTATTTTATATTTAATTTTCGTATCAAAACTTTTCAAACCAAAATTAAGACAATTAATGTAAAATAACAATCAAAATACCTATTTTCTTTTTACATATACTAGAGAAGAAACTCAGTCGAGGTTTAGATCTAATCATTTTAATCCCTGACAAAAGTCTGAAGAATAAAAAACTATAATTTATTTTGATTAAATATTTTAGACAGTCTTTTAGGAAAAGAAAATATTAAGAAGACGAACAGTGACCAAGCTCAAAAGTCCATTGAAGCAATAGAAATTGGGAGCAGAGCAAACACGGACCTCATGCCATAAAACTTAGATGAGCTCACTTTTGATCTCAGTCTCACTTTTTTGCTATATGTTCCTTTTGGAAAAGTGAGACTGAAATCAAAAGTGAGCTCGTCTAAGTTTTATGGCCCCGGAGCCTGAAAACATAAGAGGTGGTATTTTATTTAATTAAATTCAATCAGTATTTAATTATGTAAAGTCAAATTATATAACTGTATTGGACATCAGGCAGGGCCTATATAAGTCATCCCCAAGAAGGTCAAGGTTACAAATGATAAGAATTGACAATGGTATAAAAATGCTGAAATATTGTTCATAATAACTTATACTAATTTGAGGTGCCATGGAAGACTAAGCATCTCCTGTCATCCGGTCACACCCGCCGTGTAGTAATCTTTCTTTTTTAGACGAAGTTCTAATAATAATAATTTTGAAACCTTTTTGCAGTTTTTTTATTATTACATATTCACTTCAGAATTTGAACTGGAAACTTGTACACACACACACACACACACACACACACACACACACACACACACACACACACACATATATATATATATATATATATATATATATATATATATATATATATATATATATATATATATTTATATATATATATATATATATTTATATATATATATATATATATTTATATATATATATATATATATATATATATATATATATATATAAATATATATATATATATATATATATATTTGTGTGTGTGTGTGTGTGTGTTATGGTAAGTTGATTTCTAAATAAAAATTCAATTTGTAAGGGAAATTTTTAGTATTTTAAATATATTAGCTCAGTAACAAGCCAAAAATAAGTAATAATTTCAAAATGTGCACAAATATAAATTTTGCAGGATCAGACCATCTTTAGAATAATGTTTACTTGCCCCCTCCCGATTCAAGATAAAATCAATTGAAAGGTAGTAGGGTGGAAATTTTATTGTACTAAACAAAATATGAATATGAGGTTAAAATACTTATTAAGGGGATAACAAAATTTCGGAATGAAAAAAAAATGTTTCCTAGAGGTTAAAAAAAGTTTTGAGTCGGGCCGGTTTTAGTCAGTCTGTCAGGGAAAGGCTAACGAAATTTTTTTTAAAAGATGGCCTCATTAGTTTTAACCTACTCTCGGGGTCTTGAATTCAACAAACTTGTTGATGCTTGTAGTTAAATATTATTAATCATGGCCTCGGTTGTTATTGAGAAGATTTTCATACATTTTTTTTCAATATATATTTATTTCTTTATTAAACTTGAATACCCTATTGTGACCCCATTTCACCCCATGGGTCAGAGTTGAGCAAACTTGAATCTGAAATATGTCCGGAACTTTCTACATATTAAGTTTTATCTTTTCTTCCGCAGTGATTCTTAAGAAGATTTATTTTTAAATGAGCCCACGAAATTTTCACCATTTCCATATTATTTCCCGTGAAATACGGCATAGCCCATTACTTGACAAAACGTTTATTTCCTTCATTTTGAAATATTTTAATTGCATGTGATTGGGGAAAAAAAATCAATTTAACACTTTTTTTTCTCCAAGTCTACGGCCTGCAGCGCAATAATGTAGATCCTTCAACTTTTGATGAGAAAGGAAGGGGGGGGGGGCTCAGATAAAAAAAAAAAATTGGTGAGCGCTTCTTTATTGCACTTACATTTTATGTACATGTACGTATTTGAAATACTTTTTTTTCAAACATACTGTTACTCATAAAACACAAAGGTATGTGTAAAAAGGTAAAATTAAATGGTGTTATAAAAAATGTGAAAAGTGTCAAAAGGATTGTATTTTAAAAAATTATTTTTGTCTTCTTCAATGTATTTTTATGTATAACAAACACACAGGAATAAAATGTATTTCACACATTTTATTTTTAAGGAGGATATGACAATTTTGGAAAAGGCGACTTTTTTCATCATAACATTGTACTTAGTATATCGGCTTAATGGTCAGGAGCTTCGGAGAAGATTTTCAAAGAAATAATGCATTTTCACTATACAATCAATAAAGCCCCCAACCTCCTACAGAATCCCTCACCCTGGGGCCACAAATTTCACAATTTTGGAAGAGGCACCCTTGATAATCATAACCATGCACCTAGTTTATCTTCTTTATACACAGGGGGAAAAAGAAGATCTAGAACCCCGCCCTTACACCAGAACCCCTGACCCAGGGGCCATGAAATTCACAATTTTGGAAGAGGCAACCTTTCTCATCATAAATATGCATTTAGTTTGTTTGCATAATACCCAGGAGCAGAGGAGAAGATTTTTAAGAAATAATGCATTTTCACTATATATTCAACAGATCCCAAACCTAGCACCATAACCCCTGACCCGGGGCCATGAATTTCACATTTTTGGTAGAGGGTTCAATGCTTATTACAATCATGCCAATAGTTTGACTGCTTGATATCCAGGAGTAAAGAAGAAGACTTTCAAAGATTGCATTAATTTTAGTGGCTTTGGCCCAACCCCTCAGGCCCCAGGGGGACAGGGACCATGAAGTTCACGATTCTTTTTCCCCTTCACCCATAGATGCTATATGCCAAAATTGGTTGAAATTGGTTCAAAGGTTTCAGAGAAGAAGCTGAAAATGTTCAAATGTTAACGGACGACGCACATCGCACGTACGGATGAAAATAGATAGCATTAGGTCACCTGAGTGACTCGGGTGACCTAAAAAGAATCAAAGAAATGAGCTCTTAAGATATCAAAGATAACATAAGATAATATAACAAATTTAATTCTAGGAATATATGCATCAGTGGGATGATTATTACTATGAAATCATTGAAATAATGCACAGAAAGAGATACACACAAGAATACATTTCAAAAACCTATAAAAGGTATATGTTACAGTAAATATGTGTAATCAGGAATTTCATGTATTTCCTGAATTTTAGGAAATACATGAAATTCTTATTCTGCTTAGGAAATACGTGTATTTACTGTTTTTAGTTAGGAAATACATGTATTTCCTGAAATTTTCAATACTTTTTCACGTATTTACTGACTGTGATACAGACGCACAGTTTATTCAATATTTACCATACCAACTTAAAGTTAAACCCAATGAGTAGAGTTCAAACATTTGTTGTACTAACTTAATTATTTGCTAAAAAATACATTAAGGAGGAATGCTACACCAAATTTTTTATGAATGTTTAAGACATCACCTTTAATATATTGTTTTAGCTTTGAATAGTTCTGAGTTATTTAACTGAATTTTTTCATTTTGTATTTTTCAGAGAAAATCATGTTTAAAAAAATTGTTTTATTGCGAATTAGATACTTCAGAAGTTTTTTTTTTGGTAATGACTGTAAAATAATACATGTCAAGAAGAGGCGAGAAAACATTTTGAATTTTATTTTATTTATTAATTAAAATAAAATACGTTATTTGTGAATATTTTTTTAAACCTACAGATAGAATCATGAATTAGATGTGTCAAGGTGACACGAATGCCCTGGATTTTCTGGAACCGGTTGTCTGTACCACAACATACTTTAACTGTGTAAAATTGTCATCAAATAAATAAAAAAGTTAATTTCATAAATATATTTTTATTTAAAAAACTAAAATTACTTACTGACTTTTCTTCACATGTTTTATGAGGTACTCACACCATGTTACTATGCATTTATTACCAGCGAATTTGAAACCGGTAAGCACCTTATTTACAAATTAAACAATTTAATCTATTTTGTCTATTCAGTAATTACATGTATTTCCTAAACCAGCCATTAAATACATGCTTTTACTGAACAGTTTAGGAAATATATGAAATTCCTGATTTCACATATTTACTGTAACATATACATCAGGCGAATTTCTACCTCAAATTCAGTGTTCTTATGCTAAAAAAATTTCTATTCTAATTCTATATAATGTGTCTTCTACTTGACAACCCCCCCCCCCCCCCTCTCACACACACACAAAAGAATTTTCATGAAATTCATGAAACCGTACCGTTTCATAATAAGAGGTGCTACTAACAGAGGAGTGACAACCACTTCTAGCTGAGCTGAAGTCAGATGTCGTGGAGTATTTACAGCATGTCTTTGGAATCTGAGAATTGGTCTGTTGACAGGAGCCTGATGTTGTACACCACGGAGTATTATCAAAGTCGTTTGTTGTACCAAATACAGCGTCCACTGCACAGCAACGGTGCTGAAAAAATTTTTAAAATGAACAATAGGATTTAATAAAAAAAATTATCAAAAAACAACAAAGAATAATTATTGTTATTTTACATGTAATCATCTCAGCCTAATACAGTCTCAACCGCCCAACAATGGTGCTGTGAACAATAAAAAGTGTTTGATAGTATTTATTCAGGTGAAGCCACGTCCAGAGAGCACAAAATTTTTTATCTGTTTTGAGTAGAAAAGCTTCAGTAATTTTGCTACATATTCAATTGAACTGTCAAAGGGACGAAAAAATCACAAGAAAGAAGAAAACATGCGCTTTATTAATTTACATTTGTAAGTACACATACACACACCATTATATCTATATCTATCTATCTATCTATCTATCTATCTATCTATCTATATATATATATATATATATATATATATATATATATATATATATATATATATATATATATATATATCTGTATGTGTGTGTGTGTGTTACTTTATATACTTGTGAACAGTAATAAAAAAATAGGGTAGGGTAATTTAAAAATCTTCTCAAAAACCACTGGACCAGAAAAGATGAAATGTAGAAGAAAGCTTCCTGAAGTAGTGTAGACTCTAAATTGTTCAGATCATGGTCCCAGAGGTTAGGTTGGGTCACAACAGGGAATCAAAGTTTAATATTGAAATAATTATATAGAAAAAAATCTTCTCAAGAACAACTAGACCAGAAAAGATTACATTTAGGTGAAAGCTACCTGAAGTATTGTTAATTCCAAATTGTTCAGATCGTAGTCCCCGTGGGTAGGATGGGGCCAACATTTTATGTTGAAATATATAGGAAAAATCATTTAAAATCTTCTTCTGAATATAACTGCTTAAGCTGAAAAGTTGAAATTCATCTGAAAATATAATGAGGTAGTATGGATTGTAAATTGTTCGGATCATGGCCCCATGGATAAGGGTGGGACCACAAAAGGCGATGAAAGTTTTTACATTGAAATATAGAGGCAAATATGCTTTAACGCCTCTTCTTAAGAACAGCAAAGCCATGCTGAATCTAGGTGGAAACATTCTCTGGTAGAGTAGATTCATTTTTGTTCAAATCACTACCCCTATGTTTAAGTTGGGTCACAAAATGCAATCAAAATTTAAAATACCAATACATGACATTGTGTATTTGGAAAAAAATCTTATAATGCAGAACAGCAGGGTAAAGTGTCACAGTTGACCGTTTTGGCCCATGAGCCTTTTGTGTAAAATCTCATTAAACCTGCTTTTATAGACTTTATTTGAAATTTGTTAAAACTTTTAATGCATTGGATATCAGTATATTTTTTGAGTTATTTAATTTTAAGGATTCAAAAGATATCTGTACATGTATGTATAATTTGTCTACATTCTAGACTTCTTAACTTTCATTATCATTATCTCAATATTTGCAATAAGGGTACACAAATCTTGTCGCCAGTAAAATTACAGCCTTCGACAATATTCACGAACAGACGACATATGTGCAGTTAAGGGAGGTACATATTGTCGCCGTCGACAATATATGTCGGACGACAACATGTATCGTCACAATCGAGCTGCATGAAATAGCATACGAGACATGTCTATGTGATTTACAAACCAATTGCATTCACAGAACTACAAAATGACAAATCCGACAATATGTGCAGTGAGGGTGGGCACATAATGTCACCGGCAAAAATACGCACGTTTTACTCTTTAGTCAGCTACAATATGTACATATGTCATGCAGTCAGGCAAGCTTTTTGAAAAGCTATTACATGTACATATGTACAAGTAATAGCTTTTCAAAAAGCTTGCCTGACTAAATCAATCAATATCTATCGAACGTATAAGCAAGAGAAGTGCTATATGTCCCCGTCATCAAGGAGCGACATATTTGCGATACTTCACTTCACAAGATGTACAATTGACTTTCTCAAATGCCATAACCAAATATTACAGATTAACGAATATAAGACATGTCACTGTTTGGTCCTTTATTATTAGTTAGCCCACGGGCTGATTTGTTGCGTTGGGATGAAACTGCTGGTGCGCTTGCGTGATTGGAATTCTGGGAAAAATAGTTTGACGAGTCGTTCTAAAGAGATTCTTAATACTCTCTTACAGAAGGCGTGCTTCTTCATGCACCCTCTCTGGTCAGTGATAGATTGATGAGACGGCCTTTTTTATAGACTGGTCTGTTCTCCGTCGTTTTTGACGACGAAATTAATTGTGAACAGAGTTGTCTTGAAGTGTTTGAGACAAAAATGCTTCAATGGTGCTCTAGGACGCAAAGTATGTGGCCTGTACAGTTTATAGCTAGAGCAAAACAAGATACAGTAACTGATTAACCTCCCTCCCCCCCCCCCCCCCAAACTCACTTGGGATGATGGTCTAACCACATATTATGAATAAGTTGAAGATAAATCTTTATTTACAGTTTTACTTTTTAATCGATTTCAGAACCTTTCTCATTCCTTCTATAATAACGTGTCTTTTATGAATGAAAACCAGTACAGATCATGATGTCTTCCTCATTTTGCCAATTCTTTACTTAGAACCTTACGTGAGTGAAACCCATTTCTATATCCGGGTACTGGCCTACACGCTTGTCGCTGTATTAAAAGGAAACTCTTTCATATTTCATATTGTGTCGCATAAAAATTAACAATTGGTTTGCAGCCGATTTTTTACGCTTGTGTCAATATGTTTCTTGTTGTGTAATATTGAATGAGAAGAGGAAAATAGACTGAATCAAGAAGGGATGTCCCATTAACCAGGTGGAGGGAGTTGTTTATGATTGGACTAATCCACTAATGGGATAATCGGGCAATTGCAAACTGTATTTCCTCACAAAAAAATACTATAGTTAACTATAGTTTACTATAGTTAACTATAGTAAAACAAAGCGTCAAAGTTATCACTAAAGTAAATCAAAGTTTTCAAAGTGATCACTATAGTGTCATAGTGATCACTTTAGTTAATCAAAGTTTTCAAAGTGATCACTATAGTCTCATAGTTATCACTATAGCAAATCAAAGTTTTCAAAGTTTACACCATAGTAAATCAAAGTTATCACTATAGTGAATCAAAGTGTCAAAGTTATCACTACAGTAAATCAAAGTTTTTATAGTGTCAAAATCATCACTATAGTTAACTATAGTTAATTATAGTAAACTATAGTTAACTTTAGTAATTTTTTGTTAGGGTTGTTAAATTGCAGGTAACAAATTCCGATGTAAAACAGCTTGCACAAAATCTAGCTCATTTTAAGTATGCTCGCTTAGTTTCCGACCAATTGATCCTTATACTGCCTGACGCTCGTGGCGTCAGGCAATAACGAGAACATGTACCGTTGCAAGGTACCGTACCTTAAGAAGTCGCTTTAACATCAGGGGTGGATCTACATTTTTTTAAAAGAGGGGGTAATTAAGGCAAATATGGGAGGAAGACGTGCATTTTTGGGCGAAGTCACTCGGGGATCATCCAGTTAATCTGTACTCCCATACCCATATACTGATAAAATATAAGTTTTTTTTTTAGATCTTACCGAAAAATGTCAAAGCGACATCTATACTCTGTGCCACCAAGCGTTTATCACCACTTTTTGCAACATATCTCAAAATGTATAAAAACCTTGGCCTTTAACCTAGGTTCGATCGATAGATCATTTTTTTACCCAAACTTCCTGCATTTATTTGATCCCTCGAGTTCAACCGGTGTATTGACACGGCGGCAAATTTGAAGTCTACGGGGATTTAGCATTGGCAAAATGGACGTCACTTCGGAAGGGGATCGATCAATTCGTGGATTTCTATTCTTTGCCGTCATTGACGTAATGACGTAATACACTTTCGGAAATGCTCTGTACTTAAGGTCGTCCGGAAAAGCATACCGCCCGAGACTTACCAAGCACTAATACACAAAATTAATTAGCGACAAAATACGACATACCTTGCATATCAATAGACTGAAGAGGATTAAAAGAGCTAAACACTGCTGAAAGTAAACAGTAAATTGGATCAATGTGCAAAGTCCGAATTTTCTCTTCGCCCAGGCGTTGCTTTAAGAGCTCGCAGTGACGAGCGGCGCGAAGCGCCGCTTGCTATTAGAATGGCAGTCATTCTGGGATTCATTCGATTCAGCTATTCTTAGCAACATCACGTTAACTGAAGTACAAAAGTTTAATTATTTAAAGTCTTTAGTAGAAGGAGAAGCATCAAACACCATTGCAGGATTTGCCCTAACATATACAAATTACAACAGAGCGATTGAACTTCTACATGAAAGGTTTGGACAAAAACACAAGATAGTTCAGTCCTACATGCAAGCACATTTAGATCTACTCGCTTCTAAGAATAATCTCACAAGCCTGCGTCATTTTCATGATCAAGTGGAGATATATGTCAGGGGACTAGAATCCTTTGGTCAAGCTCAGGATACATATGGTTCACTTTTTGTACCCATTATCTAAACAAATTACCCAGTGAATTGCGCAAAAATTTGGCACGTGAACATGGCTCTACTGATTGGTTGCTAGGTGACTTGAGGAATAGTCTTTACAGGGAACTGGACATATTAAAAGCTGGAACTCACATTGACGCAATAGAACCAAGCGCAACAGCTTCCTTTTATATGCACTCAAAGTCCAGTAATGAGCAACTTCAACGCAACTTCAGTCCTAGGAAATCTCAGGTATGCTGTGCATTTTGCAAGGAGTCACATTATTCAAATGATTGTACAAAATACAATAATAACAATGACCGCATGAGAATTGTCAAACGAGACAAGTTATGCTTTAACTGTTTAGGCAGGCATCGTGTTGCAGATTGTCAATCTAAATCTAATTGTAAAATTTGCAAAAAAAAAAAAAAAAAAAAACCGTCACCACACAAGTTTGTACCCCTTCATTTCTTAAACAAAAATAAAGCATACCATAGGACAATCAGCGTTATAAATCGTCTCAAAATGGAACCCAAAATGCTTATCAAATATGGGGAAATAATTGCTGAA